TAGAAGTCATAGATGGCCATCCGTTGTTGGAATAGAAAGAATTTGCTTCAAAAAAGCACTCGGCTCCTTGTTATCACTAATAGCTCAATCAAGTCTTGAGATAAGAATGACCAAGTTTATATATATATATATATATATATATATATTGTATGTATAGCTTTTTAACACAATAATTTATCTTTTTCAAAAGATTCAAGCCTAAAATTCATCCAAAAACTCAAGATATGGCTCCAAGCATTACTATGAAAAAAATCATACACTTATTGCCTTTTATTTACATGTGTTGTCTTCAACACCTTATAACTCTTTTGTAAAAACTTATTGTTCTCCGAAAGCATAAGTTATGCTCCAAAGAGTGACAATAGATTTGAAATTCATACCTTAACTTTGAGTGCTAATAACTCCTTCATAAAAACTCTAAATCATACAAAATTTGTATCTAAATTATATCTAAAAGCCTAAATTTACTGATCTTAGCTTCTAAAGTTCGAATGAATTCAAAAAAAAATCCTAATCCCTAATAAGGCCCCGAGCAGCCTCCTTGAAGCCCATTGGACATGGCCTTCAACTAATAGGGATGAAGATCTACATTCCGTACCTTCATCCGACCATGCCTTGCTTTCATCCCTCCCAATAAGCCTCTTATTAGTTTAGATTTTTCATCTTTAGTATTTAATCTCCTCTCAAGGCTTCATACTAAATATTTAGGTCTTATAATTTTTTAAATGCCATAATCAAAATAGATAAAACTCAAAATAATCTTTCTTATATCTACTCTCTTTAAATTAATCTATTAACTATTTTAAAATATACTAAGACTTATGAACATATTATATGTTCTAACTAATTTTTACATATTATAAGTAATTATAGTACAATATCTTTATCTTCTAGAGATATTACTAATAAAATACTTCCTATAGATGTAGCAATAAATGGTTATAATAGTTGCATAATTTTTAATATAATTGGATCTTCTTCTAATCTGATTATTTTAAGTTTATTGTCGCCAAAAAAAAAACAAAATCCCTTGATAGATTGAATTTCACATAAACTTGATTTTTCTTAGAGTTTATGTTTATGTTTGATATGTAGACTTTTTGATCAAGTTAGATTCATGTAATTCTATATTTTTGATAGTAGATCATTTTACCAAAATGACACATTTTGTACCATGTACAAAATCTATCACAAGTGAAAAAACTACCAAGCTTTTTTTTGACAATATCTATCAATATCATGGATTGTCAAAAGATATTATAGCAAATAGAGGAATTCTATTTGTATCAAGATTTTAGAGAATCTATTAGGCACTATATATAAGACAAGGGTTCAAGACCAAGAAACATAATTAACTCGACTTTAGAAGAATAATTAGATAGAAGATAAGAAAATCCTGACCGGACTATAAGAAATGAGTTGTCAAGATTGAGAATCCCTTCACCTTGATTCCTAAATATACTAGGTCTTAGGAAGCTTCTTGAAAAAAATTTATGATGCTTGAGAACAAAGCAAGCCCAAGATCCTTCTTTAGCAACTTTTTGAATCATCTAAAGCCTCTTAGAATCTTTTAGGATCTCCTATGATCTTTTAGAATTTTCTTAAAATCTATTGGAACCTTTTGGAATCTTCTTAGAATCTATTAGAACCTTTTGGAACCTACTAGAAACTTCTAAAATCTACAAGAATCTTCTTAGAATCTTCTAGAACCTCCTAAAATCTTCTCAAACCTTCTTTAATTGTATGTCTATGATAAAATCTTTTTTAAGATTCTAAAGATAGATACAAAGCTTTCTTTGGCCTTTCATCATCAAATTAATGAATAAACGGAGTACATAAATCAAGTTTTAGAGTAATACTTAAAGTGTACTATTAATTATGAACAAGACAATTGAATAATCTTCGTGTCATTGGTAGAGTTTTTTTTTACAATAATATGATGCATTCTTCTACATAATAAACTTCTTTCTTTATCAATTATGGTTGCTATTGATAATTTGATATTTTTGACTTTTCAAAAGTTAATAATCATATGGCAAAAGTTTTTTCAAATCATTTGTTAAAGCTACATGCAACAATGAAGGTACAATTTAAGGAAGCTCAAAAATGATAATAAATCAACTCTAATGCCTATCAAAAAGAACAATCACAATGCAATGTAGGTGACAAGATATGGTTATTTTGTCGTAATATTAAGACTATTCATCTTTGTGACAAGTTGGACTACTGCAGGCTTTGATCTTTTTTTTTATTTATAGACAAATTAATCCAGTTGCTTATCAATTACATCTACTAATGTCAATAAAAATCTATCCTATATTCTACATGTCTTTTTTTAAACCATAAAAGATTATGAACATACTAAAAAAAAGATAAATCCCACATCTTCATATAGAAGTAGACGGTAATGAAGAGTTTGAAGTAGAAGAAATTTTAGATTCAAGGTGGTGCCAAAGTAAGTTGAAATATTTTATCTATTGGCATGGATATGATATTAATGAACGTACATAGAAGCTAGCAAAGAATCTTCCAAATGCAGCAAAAATAATGGAGATTTTTCAATAATGACATCCATCAAAACTAAGATGAAGGATAGCAAATCATTGTTATAAAAAAAACACAATTTAAGAAAGATTACATTCTACCTTCTATTTTTATATATAGTTTGTGTAATTGAGGCATTAAAGATATGGAGAATCAATAACTGGTGGATTCAACTTAAGAGCCATCATTTACTAACTTATGAGATGAGACATTGTAATTATCACATCCTTTAAGACAACGTAATAGGAATGAAGATCTTCAAAAATAACATATTCTTCTTTGAACAAATAACGAGATATAACGTGTTTGGTATCACAACATGAAAAAAGACTCTCAATGTTTGGTGATTTTATTGGAGGTAGACACGACACTTGATGATATTACGTTGTCTTGAAGGATGTGATAATTGCAAATGTTTTGTTTGAAGGAAGTTACAAAGGTTTCAACAATGGTATTACAAATCATAGGATAGTCTTTCCGCCTTGAAATGGGATATTATCAATGGCTAAGAAGACCTATCAACTATCTTTGAAAGAAACAAAGATCAGAATACATACCAAATAAAATTTGCCATAACTTAAACTTCCTCAACATATGATCACTATTCCTCATGGAACTCGTTTCTAGAAGGGGAGATAATATCATGGATATATACCTATTATAATTATTACCTAGGTAATATGAATAGATAGAATTAAGTAAAAATAGATTAATTTCATAATATTTTTTTTAGAAGCTTCTTAGACACTGTTTTGACTTTACATATATTTGTAGTTCATTGGTAGGTTAAAAATTTGGTCAACAAGCTATTCATGTATCACATGTATTGGTATCTTGTGAAACAAGCTTATTATATGGTACCTATATAGAAAATTTGCCTTGCAAGTTAAGATATGTGTTATATTTCTATTTTTTTTTAAGAGAGTCTCACTTGCTTATATGCTTTCATCAAGTTCTTATTCTTAACAAAACCACTAAGATAATTGCCTCCAAGACTTATTAAGACTCCATTTTTGTAACTAACATTTTAATTTTCAATTTGTCAAAGGATTTCTACACTACTCACTATAAATTGTGATTTTAAGCATTCTAAATGCATTTTTTTATTCTAAAATAACTAGTGAGTTGATTTGATGACTCATGCCATGACAAAAAATTCTTGCAATTCTGAATTCATTTCAAGGATGGCCAAAAAAATAACAAGATTTATCAAATATCCTTTAAGACTTATTTATTTTACACCAAAAGAAAGAAATGTAGCTTTTGATCAATAAATATTTTTTTTGAAGCTAAATCAATCTTCAACTAATATATATATATATATATAATTAAATATAATAAAATATATCTTAAAATATTTATATATATAATATTAAGAATAATTCTTTTAAATATCACACTTCTAAGTTTGAATTCAAGAACAATCTTCTTTATTTTGAAAGATGCTTATATATTGCAAAAGATGAAGCACAATTACTTTAAAAAATGTAATTATAATTTTATTAGAATTTAGAGTATTTTTTTAGAACATCTTTTCTATAAAAACTTTATATTCTTTTAGTAATAGAATTGTGTATATAATTTACATAATTATAGTCATATCCCTAATATAATTTAAAATTTTTTCTTAAAAAATAATAATTGTAATAAAAAATCTATTCAATAAGTTATATACACAAATTTTTATAAAATATTTTAAAAATTTATAAAAAAAAGAAAAAATTCAAAAATAAATCAAAATTTAAAATCGTATTTTTCTTAATAGTTGAATAATTCTTAAATGATAAAAAAATATCATAAAAAAAAATATTAATTTTTTTTCATGAAGAATTAGAATCCTAAATAATGACCTTAATATATATATATATATATATATAATTTTTGAAAATCAATTAGATACATATATTATATAAAATTTACTAATAAAATATTATTATTTTCAATTAATAGCAAAAATATCTATTATATAACATGACTTGGGTATAATATAAAGAGATAAATTAGTTCTTTACTGGCTTGTGAACAAAAGAATTTTAGAAATGCAAGGAACCTAAAGAATAAAGAAGTATGAATGAACAAGGAAATGGATGGATGTGATAGAATTTGCTGTGCCTAATGGCACAAATTTTTACTAGCTTACAAACATGGAAACATGAAAACCAAAGAAAGAGGGAACATGAGAACTAGAGATATGGAAAGGAAAGAAGGAACATGGAAACCAAGGAACATGGATGAATAAGGGAAGAGATAAATATGTCAAAGATTGCAGTGCCCAACACAAGTTTTTGCTAGTTAAGACATAAGACAGGTTATTAATTCTCACTATCTCTTCCAATGGACAGATTAACAATATATGTGCCAAGATTTTTAATTAATGAAAAAAAAAGAAAAAAAGAAAAAAAAGAAGTCATAAGGACATTCTCTGTCAGACTCTTTCCCTAGTGTTGTCTTGAGTGAAAGCTTGTAATTACTCAACGTTTTGCATTCCACTTCTGAAGTAAACAATTGTTCCTCTCGGTGTAAGGCACTAGAATGGAGCTTGTGATCTACCTAATCAGTGCAGGGAACTGCAAAGATCAATTAGTGTAATCCGTTAATGATTTGGAACCTGGTATGCACTTTTAGGATTTTCATGTTTCATGATCAAGCACTCCCACTGTTTGAATCAGTTTTTGGAAGGTGCACATGCAGACTCGACCATGAGAAAGAGCGATCCTGTTAAAATGCATGGAATTACAACAGTAGAACGAGGACTAGTTGAAAACTGTGTCAATAAAACTAAGCAAACGAGGATGTTACATGTTCTCGTCGACCCTGAAGGGCTCACACTTGGGCTTTATCAGTGTGGATGGAAGGTAAAATGACAAGCCGTATGTCAATGCGGACAACATCACCACAAAATTCCATGCTAGGAACTGGTGCAAAAAAAAAGTTTTCCCCGATGAATACGACCACACAAGGCCACCAATCGCAGGTCCATTAGCTCGGAAGAAGCTGCAGAAACTGTGGCTCAAACCTGTCACAGCACCCATGTTCTCTGGTGTCGCTGAGTTGCTGACCAGGATCAGGGAGCCTGTGAAAGCGGTGCAAGCAGATATGCTCCGGGCTGCCGTGCAGAACAATAAAAGGCACCATTGGAGGAACGGGGCATTATTCAACAACGAACTCATTGGAAAACAAATCCAGATGGGAATAGTGGAGAGGATCCCCAATCGAAAGCACTTAAGAGGGCCTAAACGGCGGGAGACTTTCGGGTAAAGGAGGAGAGTGTAGAGGCAAAGCACCACTCCCCCCTCTCCCAGAATTAGGCCCAACGCTGATGAGGAGAAGTTGAGACCACCAACTGACTTTGATGCTGCTCCAAACATTGGAAACAGCTCATCTGCAACCAATTAACACGTAAGATTGTGCAATCAGTGCTAATGAAAGACGTCACAGTTTCCTTAAGATGTAGTGATCGACGGGAACATTACCAGTGATAATGAAGACCAGGCCTGTCATGGCGTAGCAGAGAGATGCTAGTAACACGTTCCGGTCAATCCATGAAAACCAAGTATGCTGGCCATGCTCCTTCTTGCGAGTACTACTCCCACATTCTTCACTTCGGCACGCCTTCGATTCTGTCATTCGCTTTAGTGAGGAGAGTTCATCGGTAGATATGACAACGATGAGCTTCTGTTTGCAGCTTTTATTTGCCAGTACCCCTCCTTTGCTTTCCTCATGTGCACTTTCACCTTCTTGTGACTGCCTCTGCTGATCCTCTGCGTGGGCTAGATCGGAGATTTTGTTGTAGGATGCCTGGGTGAAAAGGCTGTTCATTGGCTGAGGTAGTACTAACATTGATCAGAACTCCTGAATCAACTCACAACCCACACCAAAGCTAGAATCTATTCTGAAAATGATATGCGTGTATTTATTAAAAGGTGAAGGTTATTTGCGCTCTGATTAATGGTATTTTAATATTCTGAAATTTCCTCTGTCATTGCAAGGTCAAGCCACTGCTCTAGTACTTGTTTGATTTTTTTTTTTGCTGAAGATCATGTTGGTGCACCATTGAGACTTGCAGTACAAAAATGGAGTGGAAAGTTGGTGGAACACTTACCCGGTACTGCTTGGGGTTGGTCTCTTTGAAAGATAATGATGCGATAACACCGGTTATGGAGAAAACAGCAGCACCAACGCAAGGAAGCAGAAATGGGTGAACCTCCAGAATCGGAAGACAGTGTTTCATCCTGTACTGCACACAGGGCTGCGCCAAGAGTCCTGAGATGACAGGTCCGGTGACCGAACCAATGCCCCAAGCAAGGTTCAAAATTCCAAATCCTTTCGCTTGGTTTGTTCTGCAGAAGGTGACCATGTGGCTTCCATCAACCCACAAACTGCGATACTTTGTCGGAAGCACATAATTGCCTGATTCACAGTGGTTCTGTAGTACGGTAACGAAACTCGTATCCTCCCAAAAATTATTATTCTTCTGCCCCTCTTGTATCCAAAGTGAACACGTTAATATTCCTTGCCCTTATTACTTCGGGCTCTACGAAGATTCTTTTGCATTTGATCCATCAGTTTTTGTACTTTCTACACTGTTGCAGAATAATATATTTTTTCATTGCATATTAGAAATTATTATTAAATATTTGAATTGAGTATGCCTGTGTGAGTGTCTATATATTTAGTTAATGGAATAAAATAAATATGCACCATGAAATGGTTTCTGAAAGATAGAGACCCAATCGTCCTGGATTTAAGTTCCAGTCTGAATTCCCTCAACGAATCATCTGTGCTGGCATTCTCTGTGTAAATTGTGACGACCTTTGCTTAACACATACAGTAGAACCTACAGGAGAAAGGAGTTCGAAATATGGGAGTGGTGTACCCGTCGCAAAGATCGGCAAGCGCTGATTTCGTTATTGTAAGAGTTCCATTGAGCAGTCCACCAAAAAATCGAAGATAGCAGGCACCTTTGTACGTCGTACAAACACCCAAGAGAAGAGCCGACACCGCACTGACGGAGCATCCAAAGGCCAGCCACGGCTGCAATTACTCCACACCCCCACATCAAACGAACACGTCTATGTTTTCACAATGGGCTGGTTTTAGTATTCAAACTCCAACTCTGAAACCAACCTCTTCACGGATTAAAGAATGTAAGGACTTACCCTTGACAGTATCTTCTATCTGATAACTGAGTTGACTTGTAAGTTAAGGATTCCTATTCTAAACGTTCAAGTTAACAGTATGTGACTACTTCTTTAATGTACTATACCGTAATATGAGCAACTGTTACCAGAGCATTAAGAACATTTCGGAACTGAAATACGCTTTCCATTACGCTCGTCACTTAAATGAAACATGAGCAACCCTAATTAGTGACAGACTGTAGGAGATGAGCTCAGAGCCCATCAATCAACACTCTTATCTCACTGGCAATTAAATCTAGCTGTTCGTGCGTAAATATGATTCACCTTCCTGCCCGTCTTATCAGAAATGACGCCCCACATCATGGAAGTGCAAAATTGTGCCATGGGAAACAGCGATGCCTGTCCATGACCAGAGCAAATCGCACAAACCCAAAATCAGGGAATAATTAGCCATTTCAATGAAAAGTCGAAACTCCTCGTCCAAATCTGACCAAGTAAAAAGAATATGGTAAAGGGGGACAATTCTTTCTTACTAAAATTCCGGCACGCCAACCTATGGCCCTCTCATCGACACCCGTGTCCCCATATTTCTCCACCATAAATACCAACTGTACCAAAAAAAGACACAGAAGGAAATTCAAAACAAAAAATATATTTACAGAGTTTCGCATGCAAGCGGAGTAGCAAACCGTTTCAAATTTTAGTAATGACAAAATTGGCCACTTACCATGGGAAACAGCATTGTGGTTTGAAATCCTTGACTCGCATGAATAAGCCTGTTCAAAACCGCGACCAGATGTCAGAAGCGGGTTAGAATGGTTTGGTGCACAAAATGGACAAAATGGACAAGTGCACCCCCAGAATCCACAGCCGCTGGATGATATTGCATCAATCTGAATTAATCACACTTACTAGGACCGGTCTAAGTTGTGCTACTCCCATGCATCGAACTAGATACATTGAATCAGCGTATCGTAGGATTTGAAAACAGATACCAAATGAAGTATAGCTGCCGTCGCGGCAGCGGGGTAGGATCCGCTGCAACGACGCTGTAGGTGGGGGAGCATGCCGTATCATCAGCATAGACATTCAGGGGTTTCATGATAATAGGCGGAGTCTGATCGCCGTCGCAGCAGCGTTCCACATCATTTCCCATTGCTCTCGACTCGCCTTCTTTCTTAAATATCTCCACACGCTTAAATTGCACCTGTCATTCACAGAGAAACCTTGGCATCGAAATTTCGATCACAAACCCTCATCGACATCGCCTCATCGGATTAATCTCCATGCATGCAACTGCTCGAACTGTCAACACCACAATTCAATCAGCGCCTAACCAGGAAAATCAGCGTAAGGTTTGCACCTTAATCCGCGAGCCACTCAAAATATTTCTAAAATCATTGTTGGATGAAACATCCAGAAATATTCTACATTCATTGAATGAATGGTTCTTTGAGCATTACTACTTAACGAGACTCACTGGAACATTGTAGGTAGTTTGTAGAGAATCAGATTAAAGAGTGTGTCTATACAAGAGTGTGTCTATACAAGAGTCGATTACTTGACTGTGTGATAACTAGAGAGTCTATTCTGAATACAAGAAAATTGGATATAGTGGAATAAAGATCTATTGCTCTATTACATTTTATGTGTATGATAATATAACAATACAAATAGGTTATGAGTCCGTCCCAACTAATACGCTGCAAAACATATTCTTCATTTTCTATTTCTTTTTCTATTTCTTACTTTATTTTCTTATTCAATATCGCCCCAATCTTCAACTAGGATGTCTCTCCAGTTCACAATAGTAACTAGTTCACAATAGTTTGAATATTCTAGTTCAACTAGTTTTTACTTTCTTCAGCAAACTTCTTTCCTATTCTGTTATTACTTTCTGTTACTACTTTCTCCATAGATTCATTTGTACATTATCACATACATTTCTTTTCAATATGGACAAGAATGACAAAATTTCAGTTAAAATTTTGGACGGCACACAATTTTTCGTTTTGAAGTATCATATGGAGATAGTGTTCGCAGCAAAGAAAGTGCTCCACATTGTACAAGGCCTAGACAAGCGACCTAACATCAATCAAACGACAGAGACTCTAGATGATCAAGAGATCATTAACGCATGGGATGAAAAGCATGCAAATGCTTGCATTTTCATTAGCAAATGTATTAGACATAAGTTTCTCGGCTAATTTACTAACTGTTCCACAGTTGCTACTATGTGGCAGAAGCTCAATTCACTCCACTTGAAGAAAACACCCAAGAGCATCTTTACTTTACAAGAAAAAAACTTAGATTACAAAATGCAGGCTATAGATGACACCTCTTCCCACATTCAAAGTATTACTGATATGACTATGGTACTTCCAGACATCTGATACACTGTGCTTGAGAAAATGATCATCTCTAAAATAATCTAGTCTTCCATTGAGCTGTGATAGCATCATCACCGACTAGTCCAATGTTGCTGAAAATCAACAAACTGTCGATACTCTAGAAGGGTGCATACTACGTCATGAGAGCTTATTGCAACGCCAACGTGGAAATGATGTTGAGTCAGATCACGCTTTCTTTACATGATCCAGCGCTCTTCTAATAAGGTCGCTTAACAAAAAGGAGCAGAATCAAAAAGATTTTCATTATATTCAGGATCTTAAAGCCCACACTAGATGCTACAACTATCATGAATTAGACCATTAGTCGGCTGACTGCACCAGGCCAAAGAGAAACCGCAAGCATCCAAAAGTTCCACGGCGAATTGATAGTGGCATGAGCAATACCAATCTAGTCGAGGGCCTTCATTTCTTCAGCACCTCGGACGAAGATTCAAAATCTGGATCAGATATTGATTATGCATTCATGGTAACAACACTAATCACAAGCTATGCTCATGTTGCCGAAAGTCCTCACAATGCATGGTTTGCAGATAGAGGCGCCAGCAAACACATCACTGACAGACACGATTGGTTTACAATTCTAGAGTTCATACCAAAAGGCAGACATATAATTCATATCGCTCACAACATAAAGTTGTGGGTTTGAGGATGAGGCACTATTTACATCAAATGCCTAATAGATGGACAATATCAAAATGGAATGCTCAAGAATGTAATATTTGTACCACATTTAATGAGGAACATGTTCTCTGTCGGCCTCATTTCAGAAAGAAAATTTTCTTTTATCACATATCCAGATGGTTGTGATTTTTGTAATCAACATGACAAGAAATTAATGGAAAGAACTCAATTTTGAAATCTTTATCAATTATTGATCCAAATTCTACCACTGCATCATCCTCTTGCTATTACTCTATTTTGTACAAATTTTTTGGATATCACTTCTTCCATTGACAAAGTCTCTATCAACATTAATTCATAGCCTATGACAATTACAATTACCTTTGTCAACAATGGCATACATCAACCTTTTCCTTCAATAACATATACAAAAAGAAATAGTTCTATCTACTCATGCTTCTTCGACTACTCATGACATCCAATTGTGGCACAAATGTTTGGACCATGTTAATATCTCCACGATCTATTGCATGAGTAAACAATATAGTCAACTAGATTTTCAACTAAACAACAATGAACTCCTCTCTTTATGTCTATGTGAAGGTTGCATAAAAGATAAACAATACAAATCAAAGAAGCAACAATCAACTCTTCTTAGTCAACTTATATACAATAATATATTTGCTTTCTAAATATACTTGCGTGCCTTATTCTTCAAGCTACCAACATGTGTGGCACATGGCTAACTTATTGACTATATTTTTAATCTAAAAAATCAATTATAGATATTTATAAAGTCAAAGTAGTATTTATGAAGCTTCTATAGAAGAAATTATGGAATTAATCTACTTTATCTATTTTTATTTAATCATATAAGTAATCATTAGTTTACATGTATATGTCCATGGTATTATCTTTTCTTTTAGAAACAAGTTCTACAAGGAGCAATCATCATATATTGAGAGAATCCAAGATACGACAAATTATATTTACCATATACTCTAATCTTTGTTTTCTTTGAAGATAGTTGATAGGGCCTCTCAACCATCATTAGTATCTCATACCAAGATAGGAAGACCACTTAGTTATTTGATCATTATTGAGGCTTTCATAACTTCCTTCAAATAAAATATTTTGAACACTGTCAGGAGTTATTCGTACTTCTAGTAAAATCACAAAACATTCGGAGTCCTTTCCAAGGTTGTAATATCAAACGCGTTGTATCTTGCCATCTATTCAAAGAAGAACATGTCATTCTTAAAGAACTTCACTTCAATTGCATTGACTTAATGGTTTTAACAATTGTAATATCCCATCTAATTGGTCAACAAACAAAGGCTCTTGAATTGAATATGTTGGTTGTTGCTTCTCCATTTTTTTAGTGTCACATATATATAGAAACCACAAACAAGGATAGAAGGTAGAATATAATCTTCCTTAGATCTTTTTTCTTTTATAACAAAGACTTACTATTCTTTAACTTAGTTTTGATAGATATCCTTGATAAAAAGTCTCTATTGTCTTTGTTGCATTTCTAAGATTCTTTCTTGGTTTCCATATGCATTCACTAATGTCATATCCACACCAATGGACAAGATAATCTAATTTATTTTGGCACCACCTTGAGTTCAAAACTTCTTCTACTTCAAAGTCTATATAATTGTCTATTTCTATAGTAGGAGGTGGGACTTGTCTTCTTCTTGGTATGTTCACAGTCTCGTATGGTTTGAAAAGAGAATCATAAAATATGAGATAGATCTTCATTGACTTTAGTAGATGTAATCAATAAGTAATTGGATTAATTTGTCCACAAATAAGAAAAGATTTAAGCTTGCAATAGTCTAACTTATCACAAGCACAAGTAGACTTGATATTATGATGAAATAACCATACTTTGTCACCTACATTGAATTGTGGTTGTTCCTTTCAATAAGCATCCGCATTGATCTTTTATCACTCTTGAATTTCTTTTAATTATGCCTTCATTGTTGTCTATAACTTTGATAAACGATTTGTCAAATCTTTTACTATAAGATTATCAACTTTTAAAATGTCAAAAGTATCAACTTGTGGATGATAACAATAATTGACAAAGAAAGGTATTTATTACATAGAAGAATACATCATATTATTATAAGCAAATTTTACCAATAGTAAGAAGGTTGTCCAATTATCTTGTTGATAATTGATGGTACACTTTAAGTATTGCTTCAAAACTTAGTTTACGTTCTCTATCTATCCATTAGTTTGAAAATAAAAGACCGAAGAAGATTTATGTCCACCTTTAAAATCTTAAAAAAGGATTTTCTAAAATCTTGATACAAATTGAGTTTTCCTAACCGATATAATATCTTTTAGCAATCCATGATTTTGATAAATATTATCAAAGAAAAGCTTGAAATTTTCTTTACCTATTATAAATTTTGTACATGGTATAAAATCTGCCATTTTGATAAAACAATCTACTATCACAAACATAGAATTGTACAAATTTGAAATTAGAAGTTCGATAATAAAATCCATAGAAACAAAAGACCATGGTTATTCTAAGTAATGGTTGAAAAAGTCCATAAAGTTGATGACAAAGAATTTTTGACCTTGAAAAAATGTCACATGATTGAACAAAGTCTTTTACAGCCTTCCACATTTGTGGCCATTAAAAATCTCTACATATTAATTCCAAAGTCTTATTGTATCTAAAATGTCTTATTGCTAGAAAGTTATGATGTGCTTGAAGAACACGTAAAGGTGCTTTTCTTTTTGGAACATAGAGGCGTCCTTTGAAATAAAGTAGGTTCTTTTTAAACTCAAACTTAGAAGTATCATGAGACTTAGAAGAAGTATTCTTGATATCATGAACAAGAGGATCAAAGGACATATTTGATTGAATTTGCTTGAAAAAAGTTGAATCAAAAGTCAATGTTGATTTCACCACTCAAAGATGAAATTGTTTTGGCTTCAATAAAATTATTCTTTATTGATCAAAAGCTACATCTTCTTCTTTAGGTATAAGATAAAAATATTTAGAAAAGACATTGGACAAACCTTGTTGTTTTTTTGGTCGATAAGTGATAATGAACTGGACTCTTAACAAAATCATGCTCCAATGAATCTGGCAACAATTCAAAATAAGTACTGACATGAAATACTTGAGGTTCTTGTGATTTGTATATATAGTGACTAGACTTAAAGTACCTTTTAGATAATGATGTTATTTTTGAAAAGAATCCACAATTGCAAGAAGTTCTTTGTTATGGATCTCATAGTTAATTTTGGCTGCTGAAATTTTTTTGGAATAAAAAACTACTTCATGAAGTTTATTA